ATATGTGTGTTTGAGAGAGAGAGAGAGAGAGAGAGAGAGAGAGAGAGAGAGAGAGAGAGAGAGAGAGAGAGAGAGAGAGAGAGAGAGAGAGAGAGAGATTTTCCTCCCCCCTTTTTCCGTTTTTCTTTTTCCTTTTTAATGTGTCTGTGGTCATATGTGTGTTTCAGAGAGAGAGAGAGAGAGAGAGAGAGAGAGAGAGAGAGAGAGAGAGATAGGAAGTCTTACGCACACTAACGTGCTTAGCAAATAAAAAAAAAATAAAAAAAATTATAGGCTACCAGAGTGGCCCGGGTTCGGCCGAATGCGTCTCCAAGGGGGGCCGAACGTTCGGCCGTTCAGGTTCGGGGGTTCCGCCTGAACCGAAAGCCAGTAACCCTCGCTGGGCCTCGCATCAATAATATACCCATGTCTTTGTGCTGTCATCTCATTGAGATGGACACCTCATCCCCAAACTGCACCCCTCACGCAGCCCAGACTGAATGGTACTGCACCCCTCACCCAGCCCCTGCGGAATGAATGGTACATCCCAAGCAAGAACCTTTGATAAACCGACCTGAGTTTGAAATCTGAATCCCCATGATGGAATACGACCAACTATCTCTGAATTACCTGGCGCTCGTCACATCGACGACGATACTGCAAGGTCCTCCACCCTCGTTGCAAATTGAAAACAAACGGAACTGACACAACAAAAAAAAGCCCCCCCCCCCAAGGGCCCCAACCCCCTATTTCCCAGCCAGCCACTGCACTTTGTTCCACCTCCAGGAGACCCAATTCCAAACCAGCAGCACAGGATCGAAACCAAAATCTCACCGTCGAGATACTCACTTGCCTGATATGGTTTTAACTTCCGCAAACTGCACCGGCTTTCACCCTACCTTAACTAGCGTCTTCACCCGAATAGAACTCCACTCATTATCACCGCATCTGGACAGAAAGTCGGCCTGAATACAGATATAATAACCAGGTGTTCTATTCAGGTGAAAGATGGTAGGTCCACGCCGCCAGATCAAGTAACCCTCACCTTCTTCTCATGGCAAGGCTCACGCAACTCCATAAGGCCAACTGTTCTCCATCCTCACTGCCAAAAAACCCTAAACCGACAAACGAAACTATGAACTATGTTCGACCACGTCGATCACCACTCATCTCTCCTGAGTCCTCACCACTCTGACATCCTTTTTCTATGTGCGATGAAGACAAAATACCAGCTCTCACGTAAGCGAAATGACGTCGAAATCTTTGGAAAAAAAAAAAAAAAAAAAAAAAAAAACAACAACAACCAGATCTCATGGTATACTTAGGGTTAGCAGAGGATAAGGGTTTTACCACCACATCAAAGAGGGGAGGGACCATAATTCACGACATACCAGCGGGCCTAGCTCAGTTCATACACCCATGTTGAAACGGTGAGCTGAGTTTGAACATAGATGGGTGAACTGTCGATACACCCGAGAAGAAGAAGAAGAAGAAGACGAAGAAGAAGAAGAAGAAGAGGGATTTTGGAGGAGGAGGAGGAAGGATAGGAGGAGCAAGAAGAAGAAGCAGAAGAAGAAGAAGAAGAAGAGGGATTTTGGAGGAGGAGGAGGAAGGATAGGAGGAGCAAGAAGAAGAAGCAGAAGAAGAAGAAGAAGAAGAAGAAGAAGAAGAAGAAGAAGCAGAAGCAGAAGAAGAAGAAGAAGAAGAAGAAGAAGAAGAAGAAGAAGAAGAAGAAGAAGAAGAAGCAGAAGCAGCAGCAGCGGCAGCAGCAGCAGCAGAAGAAGAAGAAGAAGAAGAAGAAGAAGAAGAGGGATTTTGGAGGAGGAGGAGGAAGGATAGGAGGAGCAAGAAGAAGAAGAAGAAGAAGAAGAAGAAGAAGAAGAAGAAGAAGAAGAAGAAGAAGAAGAAGAAGAAGAAGAAGCAGAAGCAGAAGAAGAAGAAGAAGAAGAAGAAGAAGAAGAAGAAGCAGCAGCAGCAGCAGCAGCAGAAGAAGAAGAAGAAGAAGAAGAAGAAGAAGAAGAAGAAGAAGAAGAAGAAGAAGAAGAGGGATTTTGGAGGAGGAGGAGGAAGGATAGAAGGAGCGGGAGAAGGGAGAGGAAGAGAGGGATGAAGAGGAGGCCGAGGAGTAGGAGCTGCTCTACTCTTACATCCAGGTTGGCACCGAACTTTCTGTGCTCCTCAATGGTTGCACCTCCCCCTGAGAATGCATACTTGTTAATCTGCAGCAGGGAAAGGAAACCAAAAAAAAGTCGGAAAGAACCAGTTCAATAAACTGGCAGGTTACTTCGTCGATGGAAACAAGATAGGCTTCTTTTTCCCTTTGCTTTTCTCTCAATTTGAGTGTGATATCCTTAAACCAGCACTAAGCACCGAGCCGATTCTGTTGAACCTGGTGTTTACACAGCCCCTACCGTCTTCACCCGAATAGAACGCCCGGTCATTATAGCTGTATTTGGCACAACTTTCGGTCCAGAGGCAGCAATAACGACCGGGCGTTCTATTCGGGTGCAGACGGTAGTGTACCCAATGCGAATGGTCTCCCCTACAGGGTCACAACAAGGAGGGGCAACCATATGCACTTGATTTGCCCCACAACGTTTCTTTTCACAAGTTTTCAGAAAGCAAAGAAAAAGAAAAAAAATGATTTTTTTAACAACAGAACCCCCCCCCCCCCCCTCGCCCCCCGGCCCCCCTTGACTACCCACTTTGCACAATGTCTGTTGAAGTTTTCCAAGGCCTCCGTGCGAACCAACACAGGCCTTGTTCACCCTCTCAGGGGTAGTATTGGGGGTTCAAATATCCTCAGATTTGACCCCTGTATGACGACAAATAGGTCCTCTCCCCCGCAAATCACCGAATGGGTTATAATAGGAGACCCTGTTGGTTATAATAGGGGGCTACCAATCACCTTACACAAAAAGGCCAAATGCCCCCCTCCCCCGACTTTTCTTTGTGTAGGGAGGCAGGAAAATCACGTCAATAAGACAAAAGGCTCAAAAGCATTGTTGCACCCCCCGACGGTCGGCGGCCCTTGACTGGTCAGCTGCCGACCCGCCGACCGATCAGCTGGTCGGCACCTACCCGTCGGGGGTCGTCAACACCCCGCAAAAAACAAAATAAAACAAAACAAAAAAAATGTTCTTTTCTGGGGTCCAGAACCCCTAATAACACATACAACACCCCCATAGCGTCCCCCAATACCCCCATACACCCCCCCAAACCGCCCCCAACCCCCTCATTACCCCCCCAATACCCCTTATACCACCCCTATACGTCCCTATGCTCCAATCTCCACCCCGCCATATCCCCCTCCATCCCCAAGAGTTTCTCAGCGGATTTGGGCTGTACTCAGCAAGCGCAGTACAGCCCCCAACTCAGATTTGAAAAAAAAAATCAGTGGACATTTTTTAATGACTTTTTTATGATTTTTTTTTTTATTATTATTATTATTATTTTTTTTTACTGGTCAGCAGACCGCCGACCGGTCGGCCCAACTGGTTGGCTGCAATACGGTGGGCGGTCGGGGTCGGGGTCGGTGGTCGGCAGGGACGCAACCCTGTTCAAAAGCCATATTCCATGCTGCCAACCGCACCAAATAACGCATTGGATATCAACGATTCAATGTATCTCATCCTTTTTTTACTTTTTTTCCGAATGCCGCAACCAAACAACCTGCAATGACAATTGGTTGTGTTTTCGCATGTATTAAAAATAATTCAACATGTCCCCAAAAGTAAAAGAAAAGGACAAAAAGAAAACAGTATTCTCAGGAACCAAAAGGTCTCTACTATCTAGCCCTTTAAGATTTCCTTGGATTCACTCTTATCTGCTGGTCCAAACAGATTTTCAGGCCAATAGTTACATCTCTCTCTCTCTCTCTCTCTCTCTCTCTCTCTCTCTCTCTCTCTCTCTCTCTCTCTCTCTCTCTCTCTCTCTCTCTCTCTCNTCTCTCACACACACACACACACACACACACACACACACACACACACACACACACACACACACACACACATACAAACAAACATATTATGATTAATCAATCGCATACCTTCGTCTTAATCTCCTTGGGAGTATCCGTCACAAAGATCGCTGACCTCTGATCACTTGCATTCATCTTCCCACTCTCCCCCTGTAAACACCGACGGAAATGTTAAAAAAACAGTAATTCTTTAGAAGACATTAAAAATTTACAAAATGCCATTCCCCCCGAGGTGTAAAGTTAGAATCCAATCATCGACTCTGCTTTATGGGAGAGGTATCTTCAATTCAATAATTGACAAAAAACTGAAAAAAAAATAAAAAAAATTAAAAAAGCACAAAAACGAAGCTTCTTTTTCTTTTTTTCTGCAAAAAAACGAAGCTGCAACCTGCAATATGCGAGAGAGGCATCTTCAGTAATTAAAAACCAAAAAATTAAGACAGCGGAGACACTGCAAAAGTTTTGGACGGGGGCAACATTGCGAGAATCGTCTTCGAATTTTGCAAGAAACAAACAAAAAAAAAAACAAAAAAAACACAAAAACCCTGCAGGCTGCAACATGCCAGATAAGGAAGGAGGTGGCACTGAGACACGACCTTGGTTCGTCGCATGTGATACAAACAGCCAAGGGTACCGTCTTCCCCCAAAACACAACGCACCCGTACCATGAATGTATACAAGCTATCTTTAGGCCTTGACATAGTCGCGACGAGAGGGTGTGTTGTGTTCAGGCGAAGACGGTAGGGCCAGCATTAGACTGCATAGGTAGGCAAAAACATAGACACCAACCACCACCACATACCCACAGTATTGGAAAGAATCAAGAGCAGATGGTGGACCAGATTCAACCTGACTAAGGGGTCATACTCTCACTACCGTCTTCTTCCCCCGAACACAATGCACCCTCATTATGAATGTATACTATTTGTATACAAGCTAGCTTTCCGGTTCTATACCGTCATTATTATGAGGGTGTGTTGCAGTCGACGAAAGACGGTGTTCGCCTAAGCTTCTGGACGTGATTACAGTCCGATGCATCCAGGTATCGTCGTAACTCCTGTGGGGAGTGGGTCCAGTGTGACACATTTAGGAAAGTGCTAGCGTGTGTGACTATGCCCTGAGGGCCATTTAGATGAACTCCAGGACCCCACAAGCCTATTTCTCATGCCCAGCCTCGACTCCAACCTTCACATCCATGTTTCTTTCGGGGGTGCTGAGTGTCGAGCCCGCGGGGTCATTGCACCAACCACCATTGCATCCATATCTACCTGCAGTGCTGGAAAGAATCTGGAGTAGATAGTAGCTGGCTTCTGCAGTCCGATCCTCGGCGCGACATCTCTAGTCATTCTGAAGTATGGGTCCTGCAAATCAGAGAGCAGAGCAAACAGATCAGACAGCAGAGCCACTGACGTCAGAGAGATGTCGACAACTGGAGAGGGGAGAAGAAAGGGAGAACATTAAAAGGAGGAGGGGGGCGAGGAAAGAAAGAGAAAGAGAAAGAGAAAGAGAACTCACAGAACATAACGCAGCAGAAAAAGAAAGACGCGAGAAGGAAGTTAAAACGAAATCCGAAAAAAAAAAAAGAAGGTTCAAGGATCAAAGCGCAACAGCAGAGCGGACCGCACACGTGCGCCGCGCATATGAGAAATAGCACGTGAACTTAAAAAATGAGGCACAACCATTATATGGCAAAGCAGCAGTTTGTCGTTAAACCACCAGTACGTACCGGTTGGGGCGGGCGTTAACGCAGAAGGCGAATCGGCCTGCCCCTGCAGTCCAAATTCATTCGAGGCCGGGGGGTACGAAAAATGCGGTAGGTACTGGTGGGGTTTAAATAAAGCAATCTTGACTGACACTTGCTGGGATGGCGGGACTTGAACCCGCAACCTACCAGCATTTTGATTTTGCCATGTGGGGGAGCTTTTGAATCTTTTGCCATTTGCTGGTGCGAGGATTTGAACCTTGGGGACCAGTAGGAAGAAAGAATCTTTTTTGTAGCCCAAGCTCAGGGCATACTCACACTAGGACGTTTTTACTTTTTTTTTTAACGTGATTGCGGCCACATACATCCACATCTGGCTGTACATGCGGTCAGATGCATTTACGATGGTGCTAGTGTGAGTACGGCCTCAGAGTAGGCATTTCCGAACCAGGTAGATCAAGATTTTTCCGACAGGCAGACCTGGGTAGGCCTACCGTCTTCAACCGAATAGAACGCCCGGGGTAATTATGGTCGTACCTGGAGTGAAAGTTGCACCAAATACAGCTGTAGTGACTGGGCGGCGTCCATTCGGGTGAAGACGGTAGGCTGGATAGCAGCTCATCGAAAGCCACAAGCTGGGCAGCTGAACCGACAAATTTTTCAGCTTGCAAGTTGGCTGTTGTTGTGTAGTGATAGCCGCGCCTATTTTTAGCAAGCCTAGCAGGGAGATTGCGCAACACCATAGCGAGGCAGTTCTGGCAGTCTACCACATCATTTTCAATTCCGAGGAAGAACATACAAAGCAGCCCGCCCAGCAGGCCAATTGGACAGAAGCAGTCTATGCTCGTATCACTATCCCCCTAGCAAGGCCAACTGCTGTTTGCACAAAAAAAAAAAAAAAAAAAAAAAAAAAAAAAAAAAAAAAAAAAAAAAAAAAAAAAAAAAAAAAAAAAAAAAAAAAAAAAAAAAAAAAAAAAAAAAAAAAAAAAAAAAAAAAAAAAAAAGAAGAAGAAGAAGAAGAAGAAGCTCGTATCACTATCCCTAGCAAGTCAACTGATGTTTATATATATCGTCACAAACAGAACTGCCCGGTAAAACCGTAGGCAGAGAGAGAGAAGAGGACAACAAACGAGGGGCTGTGACAAACTGTTTCGTCGGAGTTTCACCGACTCATCAGGAGGCTGAACCCTCAACAGTCTGCAGAATCCTATATATATGTAAAAGAACAGAAGCAGGCCAAAGAGGGCCAATAGGACAAAAGCAGGCTACATGGGCCAATGGGACAGAAGCAGGCCAAGCAGGCCAATGGGACTGAAGCAGCTTAAACGGGGAAATTGGGCCAAATGGGGCCCCAGCGGGCCAATGGGACAGAATCACACTACGCGGGCCAAGTGCCCCAATGGGACAGAAGCAGGTCCACCAGGCCAAGCTAAGCGGGCCAAGCGGGCCCGAGCAGACCCACGGGACACATGAAACCCACGGCCTTGCACTCACCTGATCAATTGCTGAGGGAATCAAGCATCGGATATCCTTCCTATTACCAAATAGATGTGGAAATGACGTGGGAAATGACGGCGCAGCCTAAAGAATCAAGCACAAGACAAAACAACACGCAAGATAACAAAGACACACAGAGCACAGTTAGCTCCACAAGATTGACCGTACCGAGAGAAATATATGAAAAAGCCAGCAAAAAAAAAAGGGGGAAATAACCCAAGGGCCTAGCTCAATGGGTACACCAATGAACTGTTGAAATACAGACCCGAGTTCACATCCAGAGAATGATGGAACATGACGAGTAAAAAAACAAATATATTTCTGAATTGCCTGGGGCCGTTCAGCTCAATGATGATATCTCAAGGCCGTCGCCCTTTTTTTCTTTTTTTCTTTTTTATAAAAAAGGGGAAATACCTGAAGGTCCTGAACGAAAAAGAGCAATGCCAAGAGAAAATATATGCACACAAACTCTTAGAACGCAAACTGCGACATCGGCATGGTCGGCAATTGCTATCTACGAAGCACTGGAAACTTCTCCCCCGCACAATTTTTTTGAACATTTGTCTTCTTGTTTCTTCGAAAAACGATCAGGAAAACAGAGGCAAAGTAAGTTAGCCACAAGAATACTTCAACCATGCACAGGACTCCAGAAATTCAGATCTGATACTGTCATAGCCATGCGCTGATCCCTTCTCTCATAGGAAACTTCTCCCCCGCAGAATCTTTTTGAACATTTGTCTTCTTGTTTCTTGGAAAAACGATGAGGAAAACAGAGGCAAAGTAAGTTAGCCACAAGAATACTGCAACCATCCACAGGACTCCAGCAATTCAGATCTGATACTGTCATAGCCATGTGCTGATCTCTTCTCTCATCCTCTTGACTACATGTCCACCTCTCTCTCTCTCTCTCTCTCTCTCTCTCTCTCTCTCTCTCTCTCTCTCTC